GGGAGTCCTGAGAAATAATGAGGTCATTGAGTAATCTGAGTCTGTATCAGAAACCCAAGCCCTAGACAGCGCTGTGTTCCTGTGCTGGCTTTCACAGCAGGTCCTCACTACGTTGTCTTAATTTCTAGGTCGGTACCTCTTCTTGAATGCAATTGCAAATCAGCTGCGGTACCCAAATAGCCACACTCACTACTTTAGCTGCACCATGCTGTACCTTTTTGCAGAGGCCAACACTGAAGCTATCCAGGAACAGATCACAAGGTGAGAGTTTTTTTTTTTTATTCCCCCGCCCCCCGTACCAGGGATCGAACTCACGACCTCGAGCTTGCCGGGCAGGCACTGCGCCACTGAGCTAAATCCCCAGCCCCTAGAGTTTATTTTTCAAATGCATCAAAAATGATTCCCCTATACCAGTGGTGGCAAATCTATGGCACCAGTGCCATGGAAGGCTGTTTGTATCATTGAAAAGCTCTCGGGTTCAGTCACTGCCCTATGCCATTCATTTTAAATTCTTGAGGTTTTTTTCTGTGCACTGTTGAGTAGTACTATGTGAAATATGCGATACAGTTGCACACACATGCCACCATTTTACCTTACTGGGGAGTGAACCAGGGCTTTGCATTTTGCAGGCACACATGCAAACACAAGTGTATACAATCCCCCTTTTTACATTTTGAGAGGAAGTCTTGCTAAATGCTCAGGCTCAGCTTAAACTTGTGATCTTCCTTCCTCAGTCTTCTCAGAGTGCTGGGATTATAAACGTGTGCCCCCCCCCACACACACACACACCCTTACTCGTATCCAAACAGCTTTCAGATTCTAGTACCCTTTTAATAGTTAACCTTCAAGCTCAGGGCCAGGACTCCTACTCAGATGTACTAAACAGAATCCACATGCATTAACCGTGCTGTCTATGTTGTAGAGATACCTTTTGTAAAGGTAAGCACCTTAATAGTCCAAAGGGCGGGGGTGGACAAGTGGTGGTGGTAGTGGAGCTGTGATCATCAATTGTTTCTTTGCACATTAACCCTTTCTTTCTCCAGGGTTCTCTTGGAACGGTTGATTGTAAATAGGCCACATCCTTGGGGTCTTCTTATTACTTTCATTGAGCTGATTAAAAACCCAGCATTTAAGTTTTGGAACCATGAGTTTGTACACTGTGCCCCAGAAATTGAAAAGTAAGTTAAAAGTAACTTTTAATTATTTAGCAGTGAAACACATGATTGAGCATGAGTTAATATCTTGTTTGGTTTCTCTTATTTAAAAAGTATTGCTCTAAACTTTGCTCACAAGTACATTTGTACCTGTCTCCATGTTTTAGGTTGTTCCAGTCGGTTGCACAGTGCTGCATGGGACAGAAGCAGGCACAGCAAGTAATGGAAGGGACAGGTGCCAGTTAGATGAACTGTCTCCGTTGTAGAGGCGTCAACCTTGAGATCCAGTCCCACTGCACCAAGTTCATAAACTGAAGAACGCTTTCAACTCTTCCTGACTTTCCTAGCCCTTTGGTTCTCCGGTGTCTGTCCCACTTACTGTTGGGGCCAGCCTCCTGTCTAGGTGGGCACGTTCCAAAGTTTAAATGCATTTTTTTGACTCTTGGCCAAAATTTAGAACATGCTGTGAATATCACTTTGAACTTCTGTAAATATATGAAAAAAAAAACCTTTGTCTGGAACTTCTTGAGTCTGTGCAGAATGTGTTCAAGGCAAGTACATAAACCAGTACCTTGAAGTAGAGGTGCCCGATGTCATGCACTTGTCTGAGGGCCCAGCTTACTGTCTTCTGTTGTTCTCAGTGTCCCAAAGGATAGCAGAAAACAGTTTAAATAAATATTATGCAATGTGTTTTTAAATGTGGATAGGGCACCTTAAAAATCTTTTTTTGCGGGGGGTGTCTTTTTGAGCCTGGGTCTTGCTGTGCTGTTCAGGCAGGCCTCGAACTTGCAACAATCCTCCTACCTCAGCCTCGCAAGGTGTGTGTGACCATGCCTGGCTCAAAAATCTTAAATTATTAGGGCTCATCATTGAAAGTCCAATAGGGTTTTTGCTTTTTTTTTTTTTTTTTTTTTTTCCTCAAGGCTGTTCTAAAGCCAACCACAGGGAAAGGTGCCACTTTCTGGTCCTGCTGAAGAATCTCCACTTTGGTTCCAGATCCGCCTTAAATAAAGCTCCCCCATCACTCATGCTGCTTGGAAAGTGTGGGGAAAAGAGGGAAATCTTAGGCCACTTCTGTATCACTCTGCTTATCGCATACAGCCAGTGCTGAACAACAAAAAAGTCAACCAGACCAATACAACCCCTTTTGTAAGGATTTAAATACTTTATGAATGTACTGGTCCCTGTGTCCTATTTTGTAGCCTTTGTAGTTCCTTCTGCACTTTTCTCAGTAGCAACAGTAGTGCTGGTAAAGCAGTGCTGGTAAGGAGCAAAGTAGGACAGTTGAGCTGGTGAGAGCCCAGGACCACTGGGAAACACCCACTTCAGGCTGAGCCGGACTCTCCCACTACACTGGCATGTTTAAACAAGCAAGGAAATTACTTTTGCCTCAACAACAAACCACTATTAGAGCAGTTCACTGAATTTTAAAAAAACACCAGTCAATGTTTTGTTTTTAAATAGGTATTAAAACTAAACTGTGGGCCAGAGATGTAGCTCAGAAGCACAGCGCCTGCCTGGCAAGTGCAAGGCCCTGAGTTCAGTTCCTGGCACACAAAAAAACTAATCTCAGTTGTAATTTACCATTACCTTTAATTGTAGTCAGGTTTTATGACTAGGGAGGACAGAGTTTCAGGGTTATGATGCCAGTGAAGCTTGAATGTCCTTCTCGTATCTTCAGGCTTCTTGAAGGGCAAGCCATGCCATCTGGTACAGACCTCAGACTGACTAGATACCCAGGCTATAAGTACAGCAACCACTGATCCAACCCAGTGGGATTATATAGCTTTTTAAGTCCTCTCCAAGTGGAGGCTTCAAAAAAGGGTAAAGTGAGTGTCCCAAAGTACACTCAGATTTGAACCAAGTCTTCCTCCAAAGTCCGTGTTCTCACATGCTGTTACCCCATCTTTCTGCAGGCTTTGGCTGCAGCAGAATACTATAGCTATAAAGCTCTTGCTCTAGCTGGCCATGATGGCATATGCCCAGAGCCCCAGCTCTCAGGAGCATGCTGCAGAAAGATAAGCTAGAGGTCAGCCCCTAACACCTAGTGAGACCCTGTGTCTGCCTTAGCCCAAGGGCATCTTAAATAACAATTAGTCATGATGCCAAAGTCTGCTGACCTTAACACCATGCTACTTTCCCTTCTGGTATTTAAAAAAAGCAGGTGGTCCAAAGTTTCCCTTTTCACCAGTAACAGCTAAGAATAACATTCTTACTGCTTTTCCTTCAGGCAAGAGGAGCTAACTTGTCAGTGCCAACAACTGATGTAAAATCATTTTCTGCCCGTAGCGAACCTGTAAGGCCTGCTGCTCCCTCCAGCTGAGTTTGGCATAGGCCTCCTTGTTACTGAGGATGTCTTGCTCAGTTTTTAAGTCTGTGGCGTAGGTCTGCAGGGTCAACAGAACACTGTCTCGAAGCAGCTGTCTCCACGATGCTCTGAGTTTCGGGATACTGGTGATTGTCAGGTTGTCCTCTTCCCTTGCATTCTGTCCCCATCCATACTGGTCCTGAAAGGCTCTGAACTCCTCAGCAGACATACACAGTACCTTGTAGCAAACACACGGCCCTTCATTATGATGTACTTAAGTTGGGATTTCTGAACAGATTCAGAGACCCCACCTACTTGGGAGCATTAGTGTCCTCTACACGCCCCCATTCCTCTCGCCTACCTTTATTTCATTCTAGTTCATCTGTGAGTGTCAGGCTGTTCTCAGCCCTTACCTTGAGCGTGGTGGTCAGCTCCTCTTCAGTCAGCACCTCCTCGCGCCCAATCACAAACGCACCCTCTTCCCCTACCATTTCCAGTTTGCACAAGAAATCCCAGCGCTCAAATAAGAGGAGCCTTTCAGCTTCCCCTTTCACTCCTATAAAGTGACAGAAAATCTTTCAGTACATCCGAATGCTCATTTCTAAGAAGTTAACTGCTATTCAGCAGAGCTGTTGAAACCCTTAAGTCAAAGACTCTGGCTGATGATTGCTCACCCTGTAAAGCTGCTTCACGAACGGTCACCATCTGAATGTCAGCTGTGTCGTCTGTGTTGTCAGGATATGGCTCAACAAAACCATACATATGAATCAGCTGCCAATTAGCCATCTGCCCGTAAGTGTTGAAAATCTCATGGCCTTTAGGAATGGACCGAGTAGCCACCATCCGAAGGTAATCCTGAGATGAAAGGGAAAAGCTGGGGCCATTCCTGGGAAGATTACTGCCGCCTTAGGAAGAGCCTTCAGCAGGCGTATATCAGCCATGGGACTGGTGCTATAACTAGTCTATCTTTAGTTCCTGTCACACGCTGGACTGTAGAACAAAAGGTCAGCTTCATGTGGTACTAGGTCCACCTCTGCTCAGTCGGGTTAGTGCTTTAAAAAGCCAGCAGCTTTTGAAAGTAAGCAGTCAAGCCCAGATCAAGAGGATTAAGTCGGGTGTGGTGGCACATGCCTATTTCAGCAGCACATGGAGGCTGAGGCAGAAGGATCCCAAGTTCCAGTTTAGCCTGGACAACCTAGGAAGACTATGTCTTAAAAAGGGGCTATGGATATAATTCTGTGAAAACTCTGGGTTCAATCTCCAGTAATCTAGGATTAGGAAATTAACAGCTACATTTGCTGATTTTTAATACCATAAATGTATACTTCTCTCACGATTTTCCATATAGGATAGAACTGACGGTTCTAAAAGGGAGTTATCTTAGCCCTCTGGTCTGGACATTGCCACATCTCTTTCCTCCTGCTTGAGACTAACAGCTCTTGGCTGTTATCCACAGGGTCAGCCGAGTCTTGGCGCACTCCCCTGTGTCAGAGCAGCTAGCCAGGAGTTAAATATTGCTGTGCACACCACTGAACACAACTTCCAAAGAAACGATGGTAATGAAAGTACATCGCACTTTGGCAATTTTTCCTTCCTGATAGTGTCTCACTATGTAGCTCAGGCTGGGTTAGAACTCTCCTCCATCCTCCTGCCTCAGCTTCGCCTGCCCAGTCCTGGGATTACCGGTGTGTGCCACCACATGGGGCAGGCCTCCTCTTTTTGAGACAAGTGCCACTCTAGCCCTGGGTGGCCTTGGATCCTCCTACCTTACTAGGATTCACCACCATACCCGGCTTTAGCCACAAGTTTGAGGGCTTGAAAATGTTCAAATGATTTTACTGTAATGCGAATACCAAAAATACAGGAGGAGCTAACTTCACCTCATTTGTAGGATGAGTAGGAAAGCGGAGCCCAATGACAACACGCTTGAATCAGATGCCCACTCATCAAGGCAATAAGGAGAACTAGGTGGGATCCACTCACTGCAGAGTACTCTAGATTGGCATTGTGATTGGCTAAGTGGTTTAGTATGTCTGCGCCAGGCACCATCAAAGGGGAGTTTGGCTCCTTTTCCTCTTCCTCTTCCTCCAGGGGTTCCTGAAAGCTGCCAGAGAGATCTTGCCTAAGGCCCAGGCTTAGGTAAGGCACTAGGGACGTTCAGTCTTCTCCCCCACCCCCAGTGGCTCAACAGAGTTCTAAAAATTAAAGGGCCAGTCCTCCAAGCCCTCACTCACTGACCTATAGGCCATCACAAGGGCCACCAGCTGGCGATAGAGTTCCAGGGAGCGGACACTGGGACCGAACAGGTCCGGATGGGCCTCCATGAAGGGGAGCACGATGGCGTGGTACTCGCTGCGGATGTTGGCCAGGTCCTTGTCCACAGCCTCGGGGACACCGGTGCCCTGCAGCAGGCGCCGCCGCTCTTCCTCGGGCCTGTGGGGACACCCCCGCCCCGCTCCCTTCACTCTCTACCGGGGCACCCACGGCTGGGTGGCTGAGCAGGCTGCTAATGTGGGTGCTCCCGACCCCCTCCCACGACGCTCACCAGAACATGGGGTGCTCCAGACGGCCCAGCTCGGGCCAGAGCGCAAAATAGGGGCTCCAGGGTGAGGCTGGGGCCTGCAGTTCGTGGAGCAGCGCCAGCAGCAACGGCACCCAACCCGACTGGCTCTGCAACGCGCCTCGCTCTGGAGACGACACGGGGGTGAGCACTCGGGGCGACCCGCGGCCCGCCCGGGGACTTGGCCCGCCCGCCCGCCCGCGCCCACCTCGCTCCAGGAGGCCGCCGATCGAGCAGGTGTGCGGCGACAGCAGCGCGGCCCGCGGCACCGCGAACAGCAGCTCCCCCGCCTGCACGCTCTCCCGGGCCACCATTCCGTAGCCCGCCACCGTGCCCTGCCTGCTCACCGCCACCTGCGCCAGGGAGGGGCGGGTCAGAGCGCCGCCGCCG